CGAGCGTACTCGCCTTTTCCCTCACAGATTAGAATGGATCCGTCTTCACTACACGCCGTAGCTCACTCAATCCGAGTTCAGATGGGCATTCAGACCTTTGCTCGTCTTCAAGAGTGTAGTCCCTTGCCTCTCTGATCTCTCTAGTCTCCCATCCCTGAGCGCTTGTCCAGCGGTAACTGGGGGTATGACAGTTATGCAGCTCCCTCATCTTGGCGTCGCCAGCGTTCATAGTAGAGCCGATGTGGTAAAAGAAAATGGTGACATGATACAGGTACCGATAACCTGGAAAAAATTGTTCTTCATACTGCAAAAAAGGATGTAAAAAACAACCTTGTGCTACTGACAAAGCAGCAATATATTTCATATTTACATATTTCTGTTGTTGTTACCGTTGCCGCTCAGGCGCTATTGAAATGAAAGCTGACATAACAAGTTCAAAAAGTGGGACAAAACTTTCCCGTAAATCTATAATAATATATGCTCCACTCGAAAATGCAAGTAATGTGCGAATTGGAGATTCAACGAAGAAAAATTGGAAATGAAGGCTACAATTTCTCATTTTCGGTGGAGCCTAGGTGTTGAGCGACGAGATAAGAAGAGAAGCTGATTGGCGTAGAGAGAGAATCGGATCGGAAACAGGAGAACACAGCAGACGAACGAGACATCAAATTCTCATCCGAGGCGTCCGTGTTGCCTAAGATGTCCAGGGTTAGAACTCTTGAGCCCCCACTGCCACTGCCGCGCGTTTTGAGTCGTAGAAGTGGTACCACCTTTGCAGCTGCTAGCCCATCGGCCATTCGCGAGCGAGTTTGGTAATGAAGCTATTCGTGGAGCATGCCCTTGAAGATCCTGTCGTGCTCGGGTAAAGGTCTCAGGCGCTAACTCTATAATAAGCTTTAGAGGACCGTTCATCAGATCATTGCAGTTTAAGCCATTGCACTTATGACGAGTCTAGTAATTGAAGGAGCGCTTCTGAAAGAGCACTAGTGATATCAAACTCAAAAACACCTACAATTTTGTAGGTGCTTTTCTTCCAATATCATCACATAAGTTTTCGCAAAGGTTCCTTCTCACCTTGCTTACAGTTTTACTATGTTTAAGTACACATATTTCGCTGTGCTACTTTTCATGCACTGAAATGTCGACTTATATTGAGCATACATTATATTGGGCGGAAGTGGTGTAGTGACAAGTGGCGCGCTTACCACGCGAGCGGTCCGGGATCAAATCCTTGGCGCCTCGGAGTCGCCCGGGCCAACAAGCCTTTCATCCTACCGGGGTCGCGATTAATTGGTACCAGATCTATTTGGGAGGATAAAAACACTGACGTGAACATCGGCTGGCCCCCCCTAAGCGTTTTATAGGCCACATCGCATTCAAATGCCGCTGCGAATGTACAAATGGAAGTAGAATGCGTGCCGCATCCCAAAAAGGGATTGATCAACGGCGAATGCTTTATCCTTTATCCTTTTATTGAGCATACCGCACGAGTTGTCCGAGAGGGCTGGGGGACGGGTAGGAAGAGAATAGGGCACTTGTGGGCAACGAGGTGCTGTATAGGAGAAGACAGCAAGTATGGAAAGGCTTCCTAGTTTTCTAGAGTGCCTCAGGATTCGGTCCGGATTTTCCTGTCGTGCTTACCTACTTCCACTAGTAGGAATTCCCAGAACAAGGAGCATTACATGAAGGAAGATGTCAGTCATAATAGAAGATTTCTCCACGGCAAAGCGCTCAATCCTGGGTCCATATCTCCTCGTTATGCTCTATAACTCGGATTGATAGTGTCTGTCGGGTAATCTAAGCTCGATCCACCGTACACCGTTGTAAGGTCTTAAATATAATAATCAGTTTTGACATTTGGTGGATATGGACGCGCATTTGATTTAATAACAATTTTAAGGTCAGTTTATTTTCAGACATCTTCTTACCCTTTGTTTTGCATGGATCGCTAAAAATCTGCAGAAATATAATAGCTAGTTGAATTTGCAGTATTGAGACACTTACAATGCTCAGACAGATATAATTGCCTCACGAAAACAACTAGTTTCCTGCACAGATGAGTCAAAAAAAGTCGGTTGGGTTGTAAGAACGAATTATGTACTTTTTCAAGAATATGTAGGCACAACAAATAGTACATTCAACAGCAGTTGCAGATAATGTCATAAACGCCTGTGATTTCGGGAATAATTTTCACATTCATAGATTCAGACCTGCACTATTCTAATTATAAAAACTCCCCCGGGTCCGTGTACGTTTTTTATCTTCTTGCTCATTTCGCCTCCATGGTAAAGATAATCCTTTGCGTTACCGTAACGGTTGTGGGCGGAGCTTTACTATAGTCTGACGGAGTATTTCTAGGCGTTTCTTCAATCCAGAAGGCACTAGTGACCCACCCGAGAGCAAGTGCTGCTGCCGTCACTTACCACATCCTGTAATATACATTTTCTTACAAACCAACCCCTATCACTAATCTCTGCTAAAAATATCCTCCCCTATAGCTGGTGTCATCTACTGCTCATCCTTAGAATGAGGTTGCGAGCTTCTACTAAGTCACTGTCATTGCGACCGTAAGCAGTATTGAGAGAGATGATCCCAGGGTTGCTTATCACGGCCTTTGCGGTTACCTACGCACTAGGGAGTGTGGAAAGACCTCTTTTCTCAGCGAGATCTGTAAAATTGCGTATACGATGTGTTGGTAAGTTTGCATTTGCACAGGAAAACTGTCTTTCTCTTCGTGATGGGTTTGGCAGGTGGCATAACAATGTTCCAAGCAGGAGCTTTTTCGGTACTTGGCATCTCGCCAAATTTTGACTGATTTGTTCCTTACTGACCAGCTTGGTTCGAGCTCTTACTTTGGGCTATCAGAGATCAAACGTAGCTAGATGTAGCCGATACAAATAGGCAATTCAACTCTGCCTTTTACCAAACCGCGCAATTTTCCTAATTAGGCTCCAGTTATGGGCGATGTGGTGTAAAGGCAGATGGTGCTCTCACCAGGCGCACGGTCAGGGATCAAATACTGACTCATACGTTGTGCAGCCAATCACAATCCCACCGAAATAGGGTGGGTACCAATCTTGTCTGAGCGGAAAAACACAGACTTCGTTGGCATCGGCTGGATCCGCAAAGTATACAAGCTATACGCCAAAATCGCGCTCGAGATGCCACCATGTAGAATGCGAGTCGCTTTCCAAAAACCAAATAATTAGCTCAATTGTTTATACTTATACCTTTTACTCAGCAGCCTTTCATTTCATTCAGATATACGTACCGTTTTTCTTGTTCCTACACTACCCCTTCCCAGCCAGTTTTCGCAGTTGTTTCTGTCGCTATTTGGAGCAATACTGAGGGTAAACTAGAGGCGGAGTCGCTCTAGCAGCTTTTACAACTGTAGATCGCTCAATGCGTGCTCACTTCTCACAACCAGCTTAACGCCCTCATTAGTGCCCGTATCGTTGCATGGTTGACTCGTGCTACGTCTACCGTGTCATCTTCATTAGCCTTTAAACTTATCACATCTCGACTCCAATGCCTCTGAGTCTTTTTGTTAAGATATGTGGCATTGAAAAGTCACAGCCGGGATATCGAGATGTCTTACTTCACCAGCTGTTAGCTGTTTCAATTCTTATCTTTGTCCCCCATGCTGAGGTTCATTAAAAGCCCTATTGTAAGCTAGGAATTCTCAGGGATTTTTCTCCTCTCGTCTCTGGCGCGCACGGCGGCTTTAAAAAGAGCCATGCAAACATTGTAAGTGATTCGAACCTCTAGAGTGGAACTACTGAAAACATGATGACCTTACGATGACGCAGTCGCCGACGAACGAATTGGACTCCAAAACGGCTTTTAGTTCCAACTCGTATTCTTCCCAAATCTCTTCGACCTTCATGTCACTGAGATTGTTACACGCCAGCTTCCATAATTGAAACTGTCCTGTTCTTTTTTGAATTAGCGCGTCTTGAGTATGATAATTCCCTACAACACTGCACTACCAAGTCTTCCAAAACCCTGAAGGAATTCTTTCGAAAGTTTTCAAGAACCCCTACACAAAGTGCTTCTCTGTATGTGCTACCCGCCCTTTGATAATATCAATACTCTGTTTGATCAGGCGAGTTTAAGCGAGTGATGATAGCGCGAGACACATACGTCCCGCAGTTTAGCACGGAGGAGACTTCGTTGTTCAATTGCGCCTCCATTTTAATGTTCAAAAGCTGTACCTATGCATTATTGGATGCGAAAAATAACGCTCATTAGTAACAATGAAATTACAAGTGAACTAATGGTCATTGATGAAAATTTGTAAAAACTGGGTACATAAATGCGCACACAACGGCGTTTCGTCAGCGGGTTAATTCTTGTCACAATAGATATGACGTGAGCCAGGTGATAGTAGGAACACTTGCCGTGCTATGATCCATTAGTTCTCAATCCTTGACAGATGCCATATTTGGCGGAAAAACTTCCATTTTCAAAATTACCTTCATAGAATAAATGTCGGATAGAATGCCAGCTTTCTCTGTGAGCTCTTTTAAGGTCGATTTGATAGAACAGATCAGGGAAAATTATCTTTTTTGTGACGTTGCTAGATTATCGCCAAGGTGCCATTCATCATGAAGTGCCACTCGACGATGTCGCTTCATTCAACTGCTTCCATACTTTGTAAACAGAAGACCGCTAGTAGCTCACACGTGATCTTTGAATTAAACCCATCTTCTAGTTGTGGGTGAATCCCGAAGAGCTGAGACCGATCAGGGACGGGAACCCGATTAGAAAGGTCACCTGTGGGCGAACTTAATGAATTCCATTTGTGAGCCCAACTCAAAAATTTGTCCAAATGTGGACTTCATACGTAGTCCTGCAATTCTCGTGAATTATATATACCACTTGTTTCTCTTCGCAGTTCCCACACATTGAGCTATCTGCATTTCGTCGGACTCGTTCGGGTCGCTCGTTTCGTTCGTCTCATATTTCAATCATTCTTTCAACGTCACCTATTTTCAGATTCTGCCAAAATTTCGTCGTTACAATTACTTTATTCTACTTTGGTATTCTTTCCACATCTCGTCCATACATCAGTGTAAGTGAGACCAATAGACATCAGCTTCCACTTACGGGCACTCATTAGAAACAGCATTTGTGAATACTACCATCCGAATGCTTACTGGGTTATTTCCTTAAGCTGTCCAATTCTCTCGTTACCTTCTGACCCTATGGCTAGAACGCTCAATTGCAGACCGTTTCGGGTGCGGCGAGATAGTGCCGATGATGAATTGGCGACATCACACGAATGCTATCATCGGTATACCGAAGACAATCATCACAAAATCTTCTCAGCATTTTTACATCGGAAGAACTCGTCACACTACTCACCAATCGCACCATCCTATCAACAAGCGCTGTTGAAGTTACAGGTTTGTCCTACTAATCCTTCAATCCATCACGTTAATCCCTTCGACACTCTTCTTCGTCATCCTAGATCGGTGACAGAATTCGTAATAATTGTTGGAACAGTTTTAATTTCTCCTACTCCAAATAGGCACTGGCAGTGTAATGGTAGCAATAGTGGTAGTTAGCCAAGTATTAGGCACTATAATTATGCGAGGAAGGGGGGGGGGTAGTTCCAAGTAGCCCCAGCGCCACGCGCAATGTCCTGGGGTCAAATCTCGTATGGCATCTCTCCCAAACCAACCAAGCTTTACACCACTCGGTCAGTTTTCTTCAGAGTTATATGAGTGAAAACAGTGACTTGAATATTGACTGATATCCAAAAGCTATTGTATCGGCCGCGGCCACGGCCAAATTCAAATGTCACTGCGATTCTGAACGAAGGTAGAATGCGTGGCGCAACCTTAAAGGAACTGATTGCTGCTAAAGGCTCTATATTTTATTCTTTGAATTGTGCACCGTAGTGTAAAGGCGATAGTCAGGGCTATTTCCCCTGTCAATCCGTTAATATCTCTTTACTTCAATCTGGGCCAACCATGCTCTCGAAGTTCTCAGGTCCACCTGGAAACTGGAACGATAGAAAGCTTTCTTTGGGAAAGTTCAAAAGGAGAAAGTCATGCGAAGGTCTCAGGTCTACCGAGGAACGGTAGGCATACTTCACCTCTGGGTAAAATTCAGTCTTTGTTTTGCGCAACTTTTACTGACGGTTCTGCCTGCCATCAATTATTTCAAGTGCGCTGAACACACGAGCTGAAGGGTTCAATGATGTCACTTGGACGTCATTGGTAGCCAGATCACTGCGCGTCGCCCAGTGGGTTGTGTAGTACCACGTCTAAACGCCCCGTATGCCCCATCACACTCCATGACGTCACCAAATTAAACGTCGCTTCTTGGCCGGCGACCAAGCGGATTCACTATCATCAGTCCATAACTAAACTCGCGGGCGCTCATTGGCGGCGGAGGGGAATTCCAATACCAGAGAAACGGATCGTGCATACTTCACCTCTGGTAAAAATTCATCTTATCCTGTTTTGTGGAACTTTTACTGAGGTTCTGTGCACATATTATTCACAAGGCGCTGAACACAGAGCTGAAGGGTTTCAATGATGTCACTTGAACGTCATTGGTAGCCAGATCACTGGTCGCCCAGTGGGTTGTGTAGTAACCACGTCTAACCGCCGTACCCTTCCACCACTCCATGACGTCACCAAAATAAACGTCGCTTCTTGGCGGCGACCAGCGGATTCACTATCATCCAGTGCCCCTACTGACACCCCCCCCCCCCCCCCCCCCGCCCCCACCCGCCCCCCCAGGCCCCCCCCCCCGACCCCCCCCCCCCCCCCCCCCCCCCCCCCCCCCCCCCCCCCGGCCGCCGTCTCATTGGGGGGGGGGCGGGGGGGGGATTCTCAACGCTTATGTGTGCCAATCTGTGTCAACGTATTCAGATTTTGTGCCGCCTCGCATGTACGGTATCATCACCGATACCTATAGGATGGCATAACTGAGTACAGAGTGGAGAAGAATTACGTGTGCGTGACATTTGTCTCTATTTCCAGCATATGCAGCGAAGGGCACTTATGCATATTCTGGGGCATTATGGAATTCAACCTAGAAGTTGAAACCTAAACAAAGAAAAAGTTGGGTGAATCTCGAAGAGTCTACCAATTTTGTAAAAAGGAGGCGTCAACAACTTCCACCGGACCTTTGTGGGAATCTTGGCAACCAGGGTGAATAGCGGTCGAGGATTCATCAACGGCACGTCGAGGATTTCTGCCTGACTAGTTACGTTCTCCCGCGCGGACATTTATCCTCCCGTGCGCGAGCCGTCTGTGCCCTCCGCGCGTACGTTCACTCTCAGCACTACTCTCGCACAGTACAGAGCCATTGGTCAAGGATTTCCTCGACCGTTATTCACTCTGCTGGTAACCCTGAAGGATAGTGGGAATTCAATCTCACAAACAGCGCTAGCTGCCTGTGAAAATTCACACCTACTGCACAAGCTGTTTCTATGTTTAGCGCATCAGACTGGTCGCAGAAATACCTATGTAATTCATTTGTAACCAAAATCATGATATCAATTCGGCTGAGCTACGAGAAATCCTCTTTGAAAAAGCGTCGCCAAAGCACTGATAGCAAGCCTACAAACCAAATGGTTAGTAGTTCCACGTATGGCTTTGGATGAACCTCGGCATTATGAAGCTTGTTGATATCTTCTTCAAAGCTCCTCACGAGGTTCGCAAATAATTTTATTGGGCTGACGTTTTGGCGAGGATCGCCTTCTACGGAGCCTGAAATGGTCGAAACAATTTATGACTACCCGACCAAACGCCTCAGCGATCCTACTGAAGTTCGAGATCAAAGAATTCATCTCGTAATCCAAAGGTGGGTCACCTACCGTGACACAGTCCGGTCCATGGTTAGTTTTTTGAGTTATTTCTGAAAAATTTATGCGCATTTGGTTACAGCATCTCATACTTCATTCCTTCCGTGATTTACAGCACCAACGAAGTAAAGCTAACAGTGCTTACTAATGTGTGCTCGGGGGAACGATTTTAACCAAGAATCATCACACTTACGAACGGAATTCTGCGAATGACTGTGCTGTGATTAATAGTGGAAGATCCCTTACTTGGAATGGTACGGCTTCTTCGATCATTGTCGTGAGATGAGATTGAAAAGCAATCATGCAAATGTCGTCAGGCGAGCGATAACAATATGGATTCCATGCAAGTATTTGAACCACAGAAGTGTAGAAAATCCTTCCACTCGACAGCCCGATGACCTGACAAAGCAGGTGGGAGGATTGATGGAGCACGGCAAAGAAACACTTGGCTAGGTCCGATAGAACATCCGAATGTTAATTGAGTCCGTAAATCATGAAACGTCAGCTTATCCTTGTATTTCAATCTGTAACCTAACAAACAGCTTTTCCAATATTTGGGTTGTGATCAACGTCGCGGCTTATTCCACGGAAATGAATCGCTACCGAATATTTCATCACTTTGTATCCAACCTTAGGTGTCATGGCTATAGAAGGTGAAAAGGAAAAAATTCCCAAAAAAAACAATAGAAAAAATTGTAGAGGCATCTCGTGAACAGAAAGAGGGTAACCCAAATATGTGGATATGATTCTCATAAATTTCATTTCAGCTAAACGGCTTGAGACATGGCGAACAAATCACAACCAGTTCGACGTCATGTAACAGTAAAAAGCTGGAAGTTGTCAGCGCAGAGACGCCACTGAGAGAAAGAGCATTGTGCAAATTCGAATACATTCTCAATTACAACCCAAGAGTAAGTATTATTGTCAAGCTTCTCCTAAAGCAAATTTGAAACAATGGTCCGCTTCCTCTGGAGTGTTGCTGAAAATGTGGTCCAATGAATTTTCTATTTTAGCGACTTCCTGCAGCGCTGACAGAGGTGAAGTGTAGTTGTCATCGGTCAAATTCGAAACTTGTCGGCAAGCGAATATTCGAGTGTGAACACTTACGATATCAAGTGAGTTTTTATTAAACTGCTCGGATACACTAGTCACAATGTGGTAACCTCCTATGAAATCACTCAAAGGCAAACCCCGGGACTAGCCCGACTCGTGGGAAGGATATCGCGAGGGAAAATGTAAGGTCCCTGCCTACATAGATCACTCCAGCTTCGCGGCTAAAGTTGCGCGGTTAGGGCGCTAACCCTTACGGGCCCGCGATCATCGACCCTTGTTGTAGCGCTTCCCAGCCACCTCGATACCGGCCCGCTTTCTCGAACGGGTGATCTTTCGCGTGTTTTGTCTTCTTTGACCGCCCTGCCTCTCCATCATTCCACATCCTACCTTTTTGAAGGTTAAGGCCTTAATTTCAGCCATCCCAGAGATTTCTCCAGCTTTCCTTTCCACTTTCAGGCCGTCCCGCAGCTCAGTCACCACTACGAAGCGCTCTTATCACTAGTTTTATCCCAGGACTTGCCTTTAAGAACACATTAGAAAAACGTCGATAAAAACGTAATCGTTAGATATGGCCAAGCCCACTTCCTCGCATCCATGAGGTTTATTCTGGCGAATTCGGGATAATATCTTATCTTATCCGGCTGTAAAGTGCACTTGCCTTGCCTCGAAAAATGACGAGCTCGAAACGTCTAGCGAGTTACACTTACAGGATTCGCTGACAGCATCAAACATTGCTACTCCCTAGTAACCCTTAGCATATATTACGGTGCTGCGTAAGATACTGCTACTACTGATTACTGCTGCCGACCTGACTTTTGATTACATTTCCTCAAACCTTCCTATCTGAAACGTTTAACAAGTAAATCACGAGGAAATCCCAGCATCGAAACGCTATCGATTTTCTTTTCCAAGATGTTCCTTTACGTACGATACTTGTCTCTAGTTATGACCCTTTTCTCAGGAGTGATTCCGTTGCAAGTTTAAGAGTGTGTGAGACTGACCTGTTAATGTTTTGAACTTCCTATAGAACTTCGAAAGGAAACCTAGGTACATCGATAGTCTTGGACACTGATTACAGTTATGTACATTAAAACTGGGTTTTCTGATTTTTCCTCTTTCCAAAGTTCCATGGGAAGTTCAAAGCATTTCCTGGTGAGTTTGAAAATTTTACTGTCTCATGAGGAGCCAGCAGTCCAAAAACTCTTGAAGAGCAAACATATTTGATTTGCAATCTTCCGCTAGCTCAGTGTTCCATAGGGAATGTTTTGTCTTGTCCTGCTTTCTTGTGATATGAGAAATTCAGGTACGAGTGTTAATGTTTGACGAGACCTGCAACACGTTTCGAGAGCATATAGAAACCATCGCACTGGCTTGCATACCAGTCATACAGGTATGGAAATGGTACTTTTGTAATTGTTGCCTGAGGCAAAAATTGAGCCACTAAAGCCGCAGTTTTATTATATTCGTATATTATTTCATTTTCATTTGAATGAAGTGAAAGTTGTGCTCAATGACCAACAAGTGGTGGATGAGCGATTCTATGGAGAAAACTGCACATGCGAAAAAAAAGCAAACGAGAAACAGTACTGGTTGGATTAAGTTTACTGAAGAAAGTGAGGGAGCGCCTTGATGAGATTATCTTTCTTTATCCAGAATGCACGGCAGGGATAGTGGAGTTATTGAAGTTTCTGACAAGTTGTGACGTGAACAGCGAATGTTAAGTAGGGCCCATGCAGACGGTAAAGGGGGATCTCAGGCATAAAGGTGTAGCACCTCAAAGACTCACTTATTCATTACCTCGCATTTCTCTACGAAGCATGTTTTCCAATTTTTTTTAGAAATCTCCGACCTACTAGAGGATTTTAAGATTTTTTTCGCCTCCGACTGAGATTACTGGCTTGTGCCAATGAATGCGTTTCGATAGAAAGACTACGGTAGCATAGCTTGTTTCCCGTAACTTCGCGAATAATGTCCTTTATAGTCGCTTGTATAATTACCGGTTTCTTCACGAAACACTTCCTGTTAGGCATTTCCACGAATGCGTAAGAAGAAAACCGACAAATGACAGCAATCAATAAGAACGGAATAGAATATGTATGAAAGAACCACCCAAACACTAACCTTTGGATCAGCATAATCATGTTGACCATTGCTGTCTATTGCAAACATTTTGCAATACCTGGGACACTAAGAAAATAAATGACCTTTTTTCAACATAGGATCACTTTTGAGTGCTTACATCAGTAAACATGATAAACATGTTGCAACGTTGCATGTTGTTGTGTTGGTCAAGTTTCGGGATTAGCACAACTGTCAGTGGCGCGGTTATTGGCACCTAAGTTAGCCTACCGTGGTCGTACCATATTCACTTGAAACCTATCCACTGTCTCAAAAAACGTCGCCGAGGGAATGATGGGGAGCGGAGGGCACATGCAGCTACTGAAGCGGTAAAAATTCCGAATCCAGTTTTCAAAAAATCTTCAACTTCACAAAATAATTTTCTTCCAAAAATAAATATCAATGGAATGCAGCATTTCTGTCGATTTATTCCCGTGTGGGATGCGCCACGCTTTTTGCACCTATTTAGAATCGTTGCGCCACTTGAACGTAATTTGAGATACACATCACAGGCGGGATACGAACAGAGTTTCAATAAATACGACCCTCTTCTGTTATCACAAATACGACCCCGCCGCTGAACTTTGACCTCACTAGTGGCCCCAAATGCTGATTTCTGATTTCGGAAATCAACAGGGCACATTATTTGAATGAGAGCGTATGTGAGAGCCTCGTCTAGATTATTTTGAAACCACTACAACATCAAAAATGAGATAAATCTGCCTTTTTGAAATGGTCGCATTTGAAATCTGCACTTTCATAGCTTGGATTTGATGTGAGCTGATCACCCTCGCAAAAACCCTCCGTTCTTGTGCGGCCAAAAAAGTCAAAACGCGCAATGTCGTCAGCGCGTTAGAGCCACTAAACATCACCACATCGGGACAGCAAGGGTGCATTACGGTCAATTGCTTTTTAGTGCAGTGCGTATTTAGAATAGCTCAATCTATTCAACAACTTTAACGTCAATTCCTTTGTGGTAATAATACAATTTCATGTTTAATTATCACGAACTCCATAGCGTTATCCAGAAAAACTTCCTTCTTTGTTCTATTTGAGTCGAAGGCGGTGTAGCAGTAAGTGACGTCACACCAAGCTCACCGTCTAGGGGTTAAATCCAGGATCTAACTACACCCAGGTAAACCTAACCTTCCCTCGTTCTAAAACCGGTACCAGATTGCTCTCAGAGGCCAAAAAAGGCTTTCAAATAGGCTAGTTTGCACAGTCACTTCGTCACTCAGGTCAAGTAGCATTTATTAACACCACCATTCTAAGCATATGAAAAACACGTGGCGCACACCATGAAAGATTGACAGAAGCAGAAAACTTTTCAAAATTGAATTTATTTCTGTTTCTACAAGTTCAGAAAAGATATCTCAGTTGGTACGAAATGGTTCAGAAAATGAGAATTTTTTCTCTAATTTCTAAATAATGGCTATCGCTACAGTTTCAGGCGAACGCAAATGCTGATGGCGAAGCCGAATTCATGTTCCCGATTAAAGCCGAAGTACCGGTGTGATCTCAACGTGATATCGATCAATCGATTGTCATTAATTAAAAAATCCAAATACTAATACGCGAAGAAGATCATCGCTGACTGATTTCAGCATCTGAGCTTATCAATCAGTTCTAAATTCGTTTCTCTAGACAGTACATGGGAGTCATTGCTTTGTCATGTATCATTCCTCCCTTCTTTTTCTTCCCTATATTTCCTAGTTCGCTGTCACCATCCAGTAAATGCGACTGTTCCTTCCTTGTACAGAATCCGATCTCATTTGTCATATCGTTCTATCTGCCTTCAGTTTTGTTGGAGCGTAGTCGAGAAGAACCCGCTTTTAAGCTGACGTCACCTCCATAAGAGCTACTTTCCACTAGCGTTTCTGAGACATGTACAACGTTGCTTCTGATGTAGATGAGTTGCAGCTTGTAGTACAGGACTCCTTCAATCTCCATCTACAGTACCATTGAATGCTGCTGCATCCCCAAATTAGAGCCATACCGCTTTGGTCGTCATCATCGCACACTCTCTTCCTATGATCTTTGCTTCGATTTGTCTTATTCTCGAAAAAAAAAACACACAAACCCACCCATGGCAACTGTGACCTCCCCATGGAGTTTTTCTGAATTTTACAAATGATGCAGTGGGTTCCTTTTTTGCGTTCATTGGAGTTTTTCCAACGGTGTAACTCATCCAGCACATCTCTGGGACGTTTCACGTCGTCAAACGCTTTCAGAAGTATTTTCTAATGTATCTCCTTCGCTGCAGTTTATAGGGCTAGCACGAATACTTTCGAGATTCATTCCTGCACGTTTAGTCATCGTGAACGCGCATTGTCCTCTATTCTTCAACAAGTAATAAAAGTGTTTGAAAGTCCTGTTCACTGTTATTGTACAGTTGAAAACAATGGTACTGTTGCACAGTTGGCAATATGATAATTCACAAAGAGCGCTCATATTCTCCATTTCAGAGAACTGCATGCAAAAGTTACCATTCGGTGGGTCGGACAGTAATGTGGTAAGTTTGGACTTGTGTTTTCAGAGCGGCATCTCTGAGTATACACTATTAATCAGGTGGAAGTTTTATCGCAATCCAGGACTGTTTAGGCCACACTCAAAATGCTTCCCGATACGCACATGTTTGGCGGGAGTGTGAACTAATCTGATGAACTTATATACCCTGCATTTTGCGTTCAAAAAACTGGTTCTGAAAAATGGTTGCGCGTATATGTCCGAAAAAGCACATTAAGCTTTTAGGAAGTCTATGAGCCTTCGTGTATGGGTCGACTTTTGACTGTTGTAGAACTCGGTTAAACGTTAATAAGCTCAAAGCGAATTCGTAGTAAGCTGAAGACCGGATATGTGCCACAGACGGGGTGCATGATAAACCGCTGTAACCATTTGTGTGCTTCCTATGGAGGCCTTTTTATGAGCTTTTTTTGCTGCATCCTCATCCACGGGTCGACTTACAAAGTTGTCTTGAAAAATCGAATCGAACCAATCGTTCAAATCGGTGGGTCCGCGGAGGAGACGCTACGGGCTACAAGGGGGACCACTCGACTGATAACATCTTTACGGGGTTCTAGCGGCCCGCGCGCACCACTAGAGTTGCAAATGAAGTGAACAACTTCACCAACTAATACACCTTAAATTAAGAGGCAATAACTACGGCATAACCCTACTGCTAACACACCGCGAACGAATTCTAACTAAAAGTCATGACATCAAGCTATCTAGCTTAATGAATTAAAAACAGAACTGTTAGATAAGAAGTTAACCCAGTGGGGTCGCTTTCATGTACGCCGCCGCTGAGCTGCTAAAGTTGAAGTAGTACAGTTCCCATACGAAGTTCTACGGGCTCACGGCCTGCTGGTACTGGCAAGCCGGGTTGATGGGGAAAACCAGAGACGAGCACTAGAAACGCTAGCACAGCCGTGATGGTGCCGTTGACAGTTGGCTCGCGTGGTGCCGCGCGATCAAAAGAAGAGAAAGAAAAGAAAGATCAGGCCGGTCATGTCGCAGATACTCGCAAGCACCGCGCCCGGGTTCTTGGAAGCGATCCTTTTCGCGAATTCCGCGCACCAGTACATATGGCTCACTTCACAGATAATTGCAAAGTATTATAAGAATTGAAAAGATGAAATCGCCCACCTACTTCTCCATTACTCTCCTCCGTGAAAATTCCGCAATTATTTATTCGCGATAGTCCGTCGCCCGCAATCATAATCTGTTTGTCTCTTCGTCTGCTTTTTCGCCGAAACTATTCAGAAAATTGAATAGAGAAGTTATAAAAAGGAAAAAATTAAAAAAGAATTATATCGACCACATCTAACTTATCTTTTTCCTTCAATCCAATAGATTCCTTCGAACGAACATAGTTTGTCAACTTCATCATCACCTAAAACAAGATAGAATTATCTCAAGAATTTTCGTCCACTTACGAAGGCCCACATGGATGGGCTGTATATTTGCTTCTCTTGAATCAAATGTTCACTCGTCACTCCTATTTTTGGGTTTCAAAGCGCCTAGCTGGAAAGAATTGCTGCAGCTATAACTGGGTACATACAGCAGGGCGAATAACGTCGAGGATTTCCTCGAACCATGGCTCTCTACCATGGCGAAGTAGTGCCGAAAATGAAACATACCGCGGAGAGCACAGACGGCACGTCCATGGCGAGTGTGAATGTCCGCGCGAGAGATCGTTGTCTGACGTGCAAAGAAATCCTCGACGTGCCGTTGAGGAATACTCAAGTGATATATCACCCTGATATACAGGGGGGAGAGACAAAAAAGACATTTTGCCCATGCCCACTCCGCCCCTCTTTTCTCGCCAGAGATGCCGTCATTGACCAGCAGTTCCACAGCTCTAATCGTCAACAGTCTCACAAGATTGGAGAGCTCGTCTGAGCTTGAACTTGTCAAAGTTCTGCTTCACGATGACTCTCAGTGCACTTCCACTTCCATGCGTTCGCTATTCTCATTGGATAGGACGGTGGCACTTTTCCTAAGATTGGTGAGATTCTTTCAGTGGATAATTATATTGAACACAAAAAGCTCGCCAGAGTGAACTTTCACTGCACTCAATTCTCCGGACCTATTTTTTTCTGCTCATTATAACTGAATCAACTCAAAAAGACGGCTTCGGAATTCCATACAAACTTGGGTTGATCAGTTGTAAAACGCATCGAAATATAACGTCAACCCGATAAGAAATCTCAAAAGGCCTCATAAGAAAATAAATACCGAATACTGAGCTAGACACAGAAAGGTGGGAGCTGCAAATTTCCACTTAGGCGGTATTTACCGGAACATCTACAGTGTGTGTTCAAAGTTTGTGGACCCCTTACAATCACGTTAAAAAGTTAACGAAAGTCGCGCCTGATTTAGTTGATTACGTATCAGAGTAGTTTAGTAGAATAAATCGCCTTGCTTTAGCGAAAAAATTCTGGATTGAATTCTTCCTTGTTCAAAATTATGTGGACACTTACCAAAAGACAAAAACATTACTGAGATTAGAAACCAGTCTGGTCTCCAGAGTTCCTAGGTAGCTCAAACATCCGAGCCACGTTGGCTCTAGGGTTTCGTCGCTGTCGGCCCAAATAGATTAATGCCACCTCAGTTCATCCGCGGTTTTGTACTGCCAGTTGTTAAAGTAAACTTCTGGATCAAGGCTCCCTATAGGGTTGCAGTAAGGAACACCACATCTTCGCTTCAACACCATTTCGTTTGAGCACTCTTTGGTAGATTACAGAAGATTGACAGAAATATGCAACTGCGCGCGCTCCTTTGAGAAAAGGCAACAGGTGATATTGGGAGCAGCTGTGGTATTCTTAACTGTTGATATCGCAATAATGGAGTAGCAATTTCAATTTCCCGCTCGCTTGCGATACCGCAAACGGGCTCCTCCGAAATTCCGTAGAAACACGAGCGGCTCACATCCCATACCTCTCAGCAGTGACAAAAGCTTTCCGGTCGTCAAGATTAAATCTTTCACGAGTTAAGCTTACTTGAGGAAAAATGTATAAAAATTGTTCGTTCAAAAATAAAACTTCTACGAAAAAACCGTATCGTATCCCCGTTTTATATCTTATGTTGCCGTTTTTCATAAGCAGACTCCAACCTTGCTAACTTGTGCTGGGTCGCTGAATGGAGTAGCTTTTCTCAGCGTCTATCGAGGGCGTATTCATTTAGCGGACGATGCGGCTAAATGGTCGTTTCTCGAGGCTGGTATAACAATTCCGAGCTCAGAACCAATGATCAATCCGACATGGTGTGGGCTACTTTCTTGTTCTGAGGCATCAAAGATCGTGGATAGCGAAGCGGTGGTGCTGAGTTAAATATCAGGGTGCCGATAATCTTCCATTGCATGAAGAAGAAGGACCAAGTGTCTGTGATTCTGGATTAGAACGTCCAGCATCAATGAAGGGCGTTGATCTGAGCTTGTTCGTCTCTAGGAAGGAGTATGCACACGAATAGGCATGATGGCGAAATGTAAACAGAAAATTCGATACGACACGGTGGAAATTTCGGCACCAAAATCAGATTTCCTTCAAGTGTCTACATGCTTTTGAACCAAAGAAGAAAACATTCAAAATTTTTTTATAAAGAAAGGGAATATTATCTGCAAAAGTTCCTGATACAGCCGAATACGGAAATCGATTGAGGAGGGTGCATAGCAAGCGCCTCTCAGCTTACCTTTAATATGAATTTATGAGGTGCCCTCATACTTTTTGAAACGCACTGTATGATATTTCGATTCCGTCATGCGATCACGGAATCACACACACCTCACATCCTTCGGCGAGCTTTGTAATTCCTGACTGGTGTTTAACACATACACCGATGGCAACCATATGGATTTCCTGTAAGGGGGTTCGTGGGCGACGACAGCCCATATGTGACTGATATCCATGCTCACTTGCCAAGCGTTTGCACTGTAATTTTTTGGATATTTTTGATAATAAATGAAATATTCACAGAGGATCTATGTAAGTCTGAGCGACATGGTTCACGAAGAGT